TATTTCATCTGACTCTGGCGAACATGTATGTATGATCGATTGTCATTTTCTTCTTCAAACGGTGGATCCTTCATAATTGACGCCATTGCCCTTTCAACATGGAACTCCAACGACACCAACATCAACACGCCATCGACATGTGTGGGATAAAGTGGATGGAGGATTCATCGTGACTAACAGCCTGTTCGGATGCCCTCCACTCCGTCGAATCCTTGACTCCACTCCCTGCTCCTAGGTTGCTGACTCCCCACGACAAATCGGGAGTTGACAACTTGTTTGGCAGTAAACTCCACTCTGTACCGGCTTCCCACGACACATCGAGCTGGTTTAACACTGGTCAGTCGTGCAGAGCTCGGTTTTAGCCGCTCTGCCAGGTTGAATAGCAATTAACTCCGCTCCACTCTTTCGACTCCGTGGAGTTGTAGTGTTCAGCGCTACTAATGCTTGTGTTTGATTAACATGGAAATTTGCCTTCTACTTCCTCCGTCGCATAATATAAGAGTATTTTTGACACTAGAACGTTCTTATATTGTGGGACGGAGGGAGTGATTTTTATTGTTGATGCTTTTTAGGGTAATAACATGGGAATTCGTCTTGCTAATTTTTGTCGTTTGTCTTCCTATTTTTGTTGTTGTTGATGCGGTATCATAGCGTGCAACTATGTTAATTTTGAAATTCAGTAACATTTCGTCACACAACTAGTACGTAATAAATACAGTAACAAATTGGATTATTTTCAGATGAAAGTATGCTGAGTTCCTGACACGATCGACACTGTTCTGCCTTCGTTATCCAGTCTGTCGAGTTGCCCGACTCCCACGCCGCCGCCGACGATGTCGGCACCAGCAGCTCCGCCACCGCCGACGATGTCGGCATCCAATCCCATCTCCCCACGCTCCAGCAACCCTCTCCCCTCCACAACCTCCGCCACAACTCCTCTCGAGCTGCCCGGCGTGACCTCCGCCGCGGCCGCACGGAACCCTAGGATCCACCACACCAGCGGTGTACTCCACCTCCACCGCTCCTCCCCCACCTTCCCCGCTTCATGCTATGCCTCCGCTGTCGCCGCCACCGCCACCCTCTTCCTCCTCCTCCGGGCCCGCCGCCCCACCGATCCCCTGCATCTCTCTACTCCGGGTAACGATCCCGCCTTGATTTCTCACCAATTTGCTCTTTTCCGCGTGCCGCGCCTCCTGGTGCTCGCCGTTCCAACCCGGGTCACGCCGGACGACTTCGTCCGTTTCTGCGGCCCCTACGTCGAGCACGCCTCTGAGATCCGTGTCATCAGGTGAATTTCTAGACGCATTTAGTCTTGATGATTGCATTTGAGTATTCACACATAACACTTGTATGTGCCGTCATGATCATAGCGATGATGGGGTGGAGGACCGGTATGTGCTTGTTGAGTTTGAGGATCAGAAGAGTGCCGATGTATTCTACCTGGACCTCAATGGCTGGAGGTTCTCGTCCTCAGAGGTTGTAAGATTGTCAAATTGCTGTTGACTGATTTATCCATTTTGCGCATTGCTACTGCTAAATTTGGGAAATGTGCCTGCTGTTCCATGGTGCAGGTAGAGGTGTGCCATGATCTGTTTATAGTTGCTGTGCAACACACATCATCCACTGAGCTTCTTACAACCTCTGAGGCATAGGTCAGCTCCTTTTTGGCATACGCACAAACTTAGTATTGTGTTAACATTGGATATGAACTTTGTGCAAAGTGTACTTCTGATCATGGCCGCATTGCTTGAGAAAACCGCAGTTGTAATAATCTAGTAAAAAGATTAGGCACTTTTATTTGTCAGAAACACCATCTGCAAACATCAAATTTACATCTCTGTGGAGTTTTTACCCTCACAAAATCCAGATTACCTTATTTTAAGGGCAGCCCACAATATTAGGCAAATCAATTTTCATGTTGTTACTCTCTTACAGACAGCTTCTGGAGGCATCCTTTTAAGCATGTAGTTTCTACCAAATTGCAGAACTGTGTCTGTGCCTCTGTGGGGTAAAATATAACGGTTTGTGCATGCACTTCTGTTGTTTAAGTATAACCATCCACAGATACACCCACTTTTTTTCTGGCTACAGTTTGGAAACCATTTAATTAGATCTACCAATATTCCATTTCCTCATCTTTAATTTTTAGATTTTTCTGCTTGTCACTTTAGTTATGTATCTAGTGTAAGGTATTACATGACCAGTATGTTCCCTAACTATCTTTTCTGTGTGATTCAGAAAGGTTGGATCAAGACATCAGCGGAATTGGGGCTACTAATTGTGACCATTCTTTCCAGTGTTCATGCGTTTCAATGTGGGTCAGTTCATCTTGTCCGGTAAGGAAGGATCTTCTTAATCACTGTTTCATTGCGTGCTAACGGGGAAACTAGGAATCACTTTGTTTCAGATGGAAGCCATCTTTTCTTGTTTTGTCTTTACACTACATCTGGGTTGCCATTACTCATTTTATATAAATCTTCTCATGTGTTCACTTACTTGTAATATTCTTCAGTAGGACTGGTTAGTGAAGTAGAAAGAATTCCACAGCAATGTTGAATGTGCAGTCATCTGGTGACTGATATCACACATTGGGCTTTATTTGTACTCTTGGACACTCGGAGCCTACTGAGGTTCAGGGGTATTTGCAGTGTTAAATATTAAACTTTGTGTCTGTTGCTCATATGAATAAATTTCACTCGGTATAGAGTATTGAATGTTCACACCAACTGTTTGGATCTAATTATCTAAGATACATATTGACTTGAATATTAAACCTTCTGTCTAGTGCTCATATGGATATATTTTTACCCGGTATAAAGTATTGAATGTTGTTGCCAGCTGTTTGAATCTAATTATCCAAGATACATATTGACTTTCGCTTCAATTGACTAGATCATAAAATTGCAAACGAGTAAATGCTGCTTTATAGACACAAACATTCATTCCAAGTTTCCAACACTATAACCACATGTATGTGTAGCGTTAAATTGTCTGTGTATTGGGTTCCATTGTAGTTTGCCTTTATTTATTGTTGTTTCAATTTCAGGTTTGTCAGTTCTGTCAGAAGCTGTCTGAAGCTCCTACAAATCCTACATGTTCTGTTTGCCAGACCTCTGAAAACCTCTGGATCTGTGTGATATGTGGTTTTGTTGGATGCGGAAGGTATGCTAACGCTGGCTGACTGAAAGTGTACCAGAACTCGTAGTCGTCCTACTATGGCAGGAATGATTAAGCATTTCACACCTTTACATAATATGCTGTACGGTGGTCTGGTGCACTCAGTAGAAGTTAGGAAGAAGGGAAACCTACATTGGAGCATAACTATATCATCACTTCTATTTCTCCCAGACTACCTGATACATGTCTTTTATGTAGCAATAGTTATTTCCTTTTGACCTTTTCTCATCAGAAGTTCAGAACTAATAGCCACTCTGCTATGTGCTATTTCAAAGCATTTAACATGAAACTTAACTATATCATCGCTTTTATTTCTCCCAGACTCCCTGATACTAATCTTTTATGTAGTAATAGTTATTTCCTTTTGACCTTTTTTAGCAGATGTTCAGAACCCATAGTCACTCTGCTATGTTGTGCTATTTTGAAGCATTTAGCATGATTATTTAAAGAAAAACTATGTCAGAGGTTAAATATATGAGTAGTTCTACTTTTGTCATCATGCCCAAATCAACCTTAAATTTATTGTTTTGCCGTTTGTAGGTACAAAGCAGGGCATTCAACCAGGCACTGGAAAGGCACTCAGCACTACTATTCTCTCGATTTGGAAACTCAACGTGTTTGGAATTATGTTGGTGACAGTTATGTCCATCGACTCAATCACTCAAAAAGCGATGTAAAGCATGCTAAGTTCAGTTCAAAGTGTGAATATCCCGAGGACAACTGCGTAAACTGTATGCACGAGGACTCAGATATGGGTGGAGTTATGTTTAGCAGAAAGCGGACACAGTAAGAGTTTTATGTTTCTTTGTTTTGATTCTCTGTAACACCTTCTTGGTATTCTTGTTCCTCAAAATCATGTGCCCTGCTCTTAACAGATTGTGGATGAATACAATCGTCTTTTAGCAAACCAACTTGAAACTCAGCGAGAGGTGCAGTGCTCTTTCCTTTGTAGTACTGTTTTTTTTACTATCCATTGTATTGTTCTAGAGCTTCTCGTATAGTTTTTCTTGGAGATACATTTTGTTATAATTAGTTATGTACTATTCTGATCCATTTATATGCCTCTGTTCGTTCATAAGCTCTTTTGCCAGACGCTAAGAAAGAAAGGGAACGCCACATTTCTGGTGCTGTGGATAAAACTGTAAATGATAAGCTTCAAGAGATGCAACTTAAGCTTGAAAATACAATGTTGGAGAAAAGAAAGTTGCTGAAGTGAGCCTTTTAAATCACACATCTTTCCATTATAAAGTACAACCAGGCCGTTGGTGTAACTGATGTCCTTTGCCTTATTAGATGAATGAAAAACTCACGAAGAGCCAGGATATATGGCACCAGACGGTAAAGGGAATAGAGGAAAGGTATGTTTTGATCTTTCCACCTGAAAATGGTAGCAGCTGCGCTACATTCAAGATGTGTTATTTGAAAGAAGTTAAATAATGCATTTTTTGGGGCACATTATGAACATAGATACTTGAAATGATTTGCTGAACTATATATGTATTCATGTTCAATCTTATTTGAAGGTGGTTTGAATATTCTCCTTTCATATCTATTCCATTCTAAAATGCCACAACTTTACTGTATCCTTCTTTAATGAAATCTGCATTCACAGGGAGAGAGCACAGTTGAAGCTGAAGGATGATATGATTCTTGACCTGGAAGAACAGGTGCTTATATTTTTCGTTACTGTTTCTTGTAAAAGCTATAATCTTTGGGAGGGTGGTTTTCAGTACAAGGGGCATTGGTTAACATGCCCTATATAATCCATGCAGATAAAATACTTCAAATATTCCATCAAGTTACAAAAGTCTATTGCGAAGAGTTCACATGCTGATGATCTCAAAGGAGGTATGCTGGTGCCACTAGCCATAGAATCAGATCCTGGAAAAGGGTGAAAGGTCATCAAGAACAAGCAAGAGAATGAATTTGCGGCGATTTTGCCAGCATGACTGCATGAACCTCCATTATTTGCCGCATACGCAAAGGGTCTGATACATTCTCTTTAAGAAATAGTACAATCAGTTACAAAGTAGAGTAGGTTACATTAGAGCCAGAAAAAGGAAGCTTTCTGGATCTTACATTTAAGGATTATACGTATCTAACATGTAATGCTCAAGCACTACATGACCGTAGTACGGATGTTTAATGGCTCAAGCACTACATCTTGAGCATTACTGATCTTCCGTAAGGATGGCAAAATGAGAATCCAATAGTGGCCCAAAATGCCAACACAAAACCGGCAGCTGTGAACATATAGAATTGGGTCACTGGTCGTCTCTTCCACTTCTTTCCCGGCAGCAGGATCTGGACCAGGAGCAGCACACATGTTCCCGTGTGTAATCTGGTGAAGGTTGGTGTTACCTAGGTAGCTCTCCATGCCGAAGCCTAGCTGACCAGAGTTTGGTATACATCCTGACAAGTTGTATGCCACAGAGAACACCCCCAATGTTGATAACTGAGTTAGCTGCCAAGGTATTGGTCCACTCAGCTCATTGTGGGAGAGGTCCAAGCTCTCTATCTCCTTCGCCGCTCAAGGTCATCGGGATCGGGACAACAAAGAAATTGTATGACAGGTTAAGGGATTTGACATGGCTTAGATTCACAATATCTCTTATTTAATTAATGCATCTATATACTTGTTAAAGGGTGGAAGGCTCGGCCTTATGCCTGGTGTTTTGTTCCACTCTTGCCGCCCTAGTTTCCATCATACCGGTGTTATGTTTCTTGATTTTGCGTTCCTTACGTAGTTGGGTGTTATGGGAACCCCTTGACAGTTCGCTTTGAATAAAACTTCTCCAGCAAGGCCCAACCTTGGTTTTACATTTTCCTAACAACCTATAACCTTCCCTTGGGTTTTCGTGAGCCCGAGGATCATCTTTATTTACCCCCCCGGGCCAGTGATTCTCTAAGTGTTGGTCCGAACTGGGCGATGTCCGGCGTCCCCTGGGCAACCAGGGTCTATGACAACCCGACGTCTGGCCCATCCAGTGTGCCCTGAGAATGAGATATGTGCAGCTCCTATCGGGATTTGTCGGCACATTCGGGTGGCTTTGATGGTCTTGTTTTACCATTGTCGAAATGTCTTGTAACCGGGATTCCGAGCCTGATCGGTTCTTCCTGGGAGAAGGAATATCCTTCGTTGACCGTGAGAGCTTGTGATGGGCTAAGTTGGGACACTCCTGCAAGGTTTGAACTTTTGAAAGCCGTGCCCACGATTATGTGGCAGATGGAAATTTGTTAATATTCGGTTGTAGAGAACTTGACACTTGACTTAATTAAAATGCATCAACTGCATGTGTAGCCGTGATGGTCTATTTCTGGTGGAGTCCGGGAAGTGAACACGGTCTTGTGTTATGCTTGAACGTAAGTAGTTTCAGGATCACTTCTTGATCACTTCTAGCTTCTCGACCATTGCATTTCTTCTCTTCTCGCTCTTATTTGCGTATGTTAGCCACCATATATGCTTATTGCTTGC